AAAAATGGAGTAGTGCCAGGGGTCGCAGGTGCGAGGAAAATTCCGCATCTGCGATGCCCGCAAATGCGAAGGTTGAGGCGCAGGTGCGAGAAAAGCTGGACTTGACAGTCTCCGCAGGTGCAGAGAGTTTGTGCGCATCAGCGGCTCCGCAAAAGCGAGAGGAAGCGCATGTGCGGTTTGGACGTGAGCACCTGCGGTCGTACAGATGCGGCTAATTATGTCGCAGGTGCGGTCACGCTTGGGCAGAAAAGGGAAATCCGAGGGTTTGGTTTCATTCTTCATTTTTGGACTTGAGAGCTCGGAATTTGGCGATTTTTCGTGGGATTTTCAGAGGGAGCTTTGGGGTAATGATTCCTAACTCGTTTTTGGTTGTATTTCATTAATCTATAGTTGTTTTCTCCATTTAGTTTCGTATTTTTGGTGTTGAAATTGAAAAAAATTGGAAGAACTTCTTCAATAAAGATTTTGAGTTTTGAAGGGGGGTTTATGGTCGGATTTGAGTAATTCCTATATGGTTGGACTCGTGAGTGAATGGGTGTTCGTATTTTGTGATTTTTACCCAAGCGAAATGTGGGCCCGGGTCGACTTTTTAGGGCGAATTTCAGAATTTTTGTTAAAATATTGATTTCATTGATTAGATAAGTCTATTATTGTTGTATTCATGTTATGCAATTGTGTTTGGCTAGATTTGGGCCATTCAGAGCCGGATATTAGTGGAAAGGCATTGTAACCGATTGTTTGAGCTTGGTTCGAGGTAAGTGTCTTGCCTAACCTTGTGTGGGGGACTTCCCCTTAGGATTTGAGTCTTCTATGTTGATTGTAGTCCATGTACACGTGGTGACGAGGCGTGCACAGACTTATTTGTAAAAAGTTGGCCTTTTATGGTTCTTAGGTCCTTGTATTCATTGAATATGCAGTTGTTCTTGTTATGATTATATATCTTAATTACTAGATTTACATCTACCTGCTTAATTAGAATCAATTGCTTCATGATCCACTCTTACTCTTACTTGATTCATATGTGCTTTAATCAAAACTGTTATTTCTTTATAGCCATGCGATATTTTCATAACTGCTTACCTTTATTTGGAATTTATATTATTTCATCCTATAATTGTTCAGTTTTAATTGAGGTTATGATTATTTTTCTGCTACTTATCTTTAATTGAATTGTTGAACATCCTTCGTAATTTCCTCAACCTTAAAAGAAGTTTAGATATCCTATATCTTAGTCGACTTGTTTTATTTGGTATTATTTAATTCGTGATAGCTTTCCTGTTGTTGAAGTGTATATTGTGGGTTCGTTGCTACACATTAGTTTTTCCTTTGTTGAGCTGTTCTCTTTACGCCTAGCATTCTTTACTGTGGTTATTCCTTGTGAATTAGTTCTACCATTTCTTTGTGAATTAAAGTTCTTGAGTTGACTTACTTGTCGTACTTTGTATTATTGTCATTGTTGATGTTGTACTTGTTGTGGTGATGCACGAGGTTTCTGCCGTGCGGTTGTTATTATGGAGTTGCACGAGGTTTCTGCCATGCTATTATTACCATTGATATTTGCACATGCGGCGTGACAAGGCGGGATATGTATGTATATATATATATATANATATATATATATATGTGGATTGCGCATGTGGCGAGACAAGGTGGGAATATTATTATACACGTGTGGCGAGACAAGGCGGGGATTTATGTTACTATTGTACACGTGGCGAGACAAGGTGGGCTGTGTCAAGGATTGATTTGTGATAATTTATGGCCTGGGGGCATTCTTGTTGTTGATATTTATGTAGTGGTATACGTACCTGTGTGAGCTTTATCTTGTGAAAGCTGTGAGAAAATATTCTATGTGTTGTCCGTTCTTCTTCTTCCTTATGCTTATTTGCCGGTATGGACTATGCTAGGACACTTGCACAAGCATATACGTAGTTAAGCACTCTTGTCGGATAAGAGGTATTCTTGATATTGTTGAGCATAGATGCTCACCCTTGTTTACTGGCCTTCTATGTGAGAATGACTCTATTGGCACGTGAGTCGTCAGTGCGGTTATGAGATGTTATGAGGGCACATGATGCCAAGTATTAGATGAGATCCGTGAGTTGTGATTTGTCCGAGGTTCAGTACCTCGTGGAGTTGTTGACTAAAACCTGATATAAAAGCGGTTATAGTTGCTGAGTTATTACTTGTCCTTGCTGTATTTGTGATTTCGGATTTAGGTTGTGTTCCATTCACCTTTCTGTGTCATTTTCATGATATTCCGCTGATACTTATTATTTTCTTCCTTATTGCCATCACTGTACTGTGAGCCATATTGCATAGTCTTTATGTGACATCATACTTCTGTTATTCATGTACTTATATTTGTTCAGTTTATTAGACCAGTGGGTGCCTTGACTGTTCCTCGCCACTACTTCACCGAGGTTAGTCTTGATACTTACTGGGCACCGCTGTGGTGTGCTCATGCTACTCTTCTGTACATTTTTGTGCAGATCCAGGTACTTGTTCGTTAGCTAGCTGTGTGGACTGTTACTGTGGAGACTCAAGGTAAACCTGCTGCTGCGTTCGCAGGTTTCAGAGTCACCTTCAACTTTTCGTTTTGCACTGTTTATTCTTATTTCTGGACAGTTATATTTAGAAGTTTTCTAGCAAATACTCTATAGAGCTTATGACTTGTACTACCGGATTTTGGGAATTTTAAGAGATTCTATTTAAATAATGTTGTTTGTTTTAATTATTGTTAGGCTTACCTAGTCCCTAAGACTAGGTGCTATCACGATACCCAACAGAAGAAAAATTGGGTCGTGACATTTACATTCCTAGTTGATGCTCGTGCACTTATGACACCGAGTTTTGGGGTGATTATGGGTTGTCCTGTATTGAAATTATTAAAAATACTATTATTTACTTTGTAAATTCCTTCTTTTACTATTTAATTGAAGGAAATATGATTTCAAAAATATTAAAATGAGAACCAAATTAAGTATTTATTTTTGGCTTGCCTGACAGCGGTATCCGGCGCCATCACGACCTTTAATGGAATTTGGGTCGTGACATCTTTACTCACGATCGAGCATGTACCGAGGGTCCGATCGAGGAAGAATTTCACTTTTTAATCTAAGAACGGGCTTGGTCATCATCTTGCAATTTGTTTGATCGTTTATTTTGTCTTTAATTCATCTATATGTTATTCTTAATAATTCGTATTGAATTAAAGCACATATCCTTTAAATCGTGTACAAATTTAATTGTTACTCATTTTTGGAGTAAACAGTAGTAACAATTAAAGATGTCACATTCTTATTTTAAATTAATACCAATGATAAATCGAAGATAATTAGTCCTCGAGATATGTTGGAAAAATATAAAAAATACTTTACATAAAATTGACCGGTTATAGTAAAATATCAATACTAGGGACACAATTAACAAAATTGACCAACATATATTTGAAATTTTTGGCTTTACATAAACAAATCCTTTGAAGCAAAATGAGAATTTGAAAATCAAAGAAAAAACTAATTTAAGAAGAAAAACGAGAGGTTAAAGATTTCAACAACAAAAGACAACAACAAACTTAGTGTAATCTCATAAGTGGGATTTAGAGAGGATAGTATGTACGCAGACCTTATTCCTACCTTTAAAAAAGCAAATATGTTATTTCCGGTAGACCCTCGACTCAGGAACGATAAAAGGAAGGGCAACAACAAGTACACCAATCAGAAAACCGAAGCAAAAATACAAAACTAATACTAAATACTGGAATCAGAAAACCGAAACGAAAGCAAGAACAAATAATAACAGAAGTCAAGAAATACGAAAATAAGTCATGTACTAAAGCTGCTGTTACAAATAAGAACAACACTATGCTACCTAACGTTTTACCTTTGTACTCAACCTCCGTACCTTTCTATCCATGGTCATGATTAACTTTTATAAAACATCGGTAGAAATTTACATCTTATAATTCATTCTAATTAAGGTTATCTTTTGTCTTCTGGATGATCCTTTTTTACCTTTTGAAGATTTCGTAAATGGCGATCTCATTTAGCTTTTGACTTTAATGTCACGGGAGGTTCTCTATCACATTTAAACGGCGAAGGAGTATATTTTTCTAATCCAATAAGTTAAGAAAATAAGGTACTATAATATACTAAAATTATAGCGTAGGAGACAAGGCAAATCAAAAGCATAAGAAACATCAGTCCTACGACAAGCCAAGTCATTCTCCCTTGACTTTATAGCATTATCCTAGTAAAGTTCAAAAGGAAAAGGAAACAACATTTCTCTATTATTTGCATAAAATTACAGTCCACTATGTAACCATATTTTTAAGTTTGGGGTCGCATAGCCAATTATTATTTTGCCCCAAAATATAATAAAACTGATTCCGTCTCCTATGAACTTCAACTCACGAAAAACATCACCAAATAGCTCAAATCTTCATTGGATAACTTCAAATTTTAATCACAACTTCAAAATGACATTCCAACGGATCCTAATCTTCAATTTTGTTAAAAATTTAACAAATCACAAAATCCTTTTATGAATTAGCTTTTAAAACCTCCAATAATAGAGTTTTTAATTTTTAATTTTAATTCACCTAACAATGGTTTAAACCTGTCATGATGGTTCGAAAGAGATACATAACAAAATAGATAGAACAACCAAAAAATAAAGTTGTACACATGAAAGATGTATGAAAGAGCAGCTCTTTAAGTGACTGCAATTAAATAAGTTTGAGAATATTTAGGAAGGTTAAAGTAGGAATACTATAGGATTTGGTTCAAATTTGTATTGCTGCTCTCTCTTGCTTTTACACTACGAAGAAAGCAACAAAGTTGCCGTTCTCCCTCTTAACTAATGAAGTTTTCTATTCAAATTATGCACACATTGGGCTAAACTGAGTAAGAAAATTTTACATGCTATAGCTAAATAGGAAATTTTATTTTTTTTATTATGAATTCAGTGGTTCCAGAGATAAAAATTAGTTGTCATTACTGAACTCTCTTTCTATCTCTCTCTCTTTCTCTCGCTCTCATTAACTCTAACGGTCAAAAGCCCTAAATCTAACCCCACCAGTGCCTCACCTTCCTCGTCGTCCCCGTCACCGTCGAGTCGTCGACGTACACATGTAAGTCCTCTTGCTCATTCTCTTTCTCTCCTTCTTCTTTCCTCTTCGTCCCCTTTCTTTCTATATCTACCCGTCTCCTCTATCCCCCATTTTTTTGGTAGCAGTCGGTGCTAGCGGGCCTCCAGCCAGGCGTCATCTACCCCCGATCCCTTTCTTTATTTTTCTGGTAGCGATCGTCAGGATACCATTTTTCTGGTAGCGATTTCTTCTGTCCTTTCTTCTCTCACGCCTCTCTGCTTGCCGCCCTTCAGTGCCCCATTCTTTACTTTTCTTTCTTTTAGGTTCTCTTTCTTTCTCCGTCTCTCTCTCTCTCTCTCTCTCTCTTCATTTTCTTCTTCTTTTTCTCTTTTATTTCTTATGTGGGTGTGGGTTAAGCAACATCCCGACAGTCTCTTCGGTGTGTACTTCCGACGATTTTATTGGCTCCGACAGCACATGTCTTCACCCCACTCGGAAGCTTCTTGGCATCCTCGGTGCTTATCCTGGTTATATTGTTCTTGCCTTTAGTAATTCATATTTGTTTTGCTAGTTTTGCTTGCTAGTCCATTATTTTGCCTTCGAATTTTGTTTCCAATTTGGCTTGCCATTCTTTAGTTGTGTTTGTTTACATTTGGACTTACTTTGATTCCTTTTTTTCTTTTGTAACTAGGGTCTTATATAGTAGACTTTATTTCGTGCGTAGTTTATTTTGCCGCGGGTTGTAGTGGTTCTAGTGTAGTGTCCGTTAGATTAGAGTGGCAAGTATTAGTGATGGTAGAGTGAGGTCATATCCTCGGGTGGGGAAAGGGTAGTAAGGGGGGTAAGGGCTCCGCTAGCCTGCATGTTGGGTCCTGGAATATAGGGACATTGACAGGAAAATCAATAGAACTAGGGAAAATTCTCCAGAAGATGAGGATCAATATATCGTGTGTCTAGGAGACTAGATGGGTGGGTACTAGGGCACGTGAGGTTAACAAGTATAAACTGTGGTACTCAGGGGGTGCTGGGGGGTACTAGGGGAAAGAACATGGTAGGTATCTTAGTAGATAGGGATCTCAGGGAGCTGGTGGTTGATGTTAAGAGGGTGAACGATATATTGATGGCTGTTAAGCTAGAAGTTGGTGGACTCACTTTAAGTGTGGTTAGTGCATATGCACCGCAAGCGGGCTTGAGAGAGGAGGTCAAGAGGCAATTCTGGGAGTATTTAGATGAGGTGGTACGTGGTATTCCGCACTCCGATAAGATTTTCATAAGAAGAGATTTTAATAGTCATATTGGGGAGACGACTAGGGGTTATGATGATGTGCATGGCGAGTTCGATTTTGGGGTTGGGAATGAAGGTGGTACTTAGTTGCTGGACTTTGCTAGAGCCTTTGATTTGGTGCTAGCTAACTCGTGTATTCAGAAGATTGAGGGCCATTTGGTCACGTTCCGGAGCGTGATGGACAAGACGCAGATTAATTACTTACTCTGCATGAAGAGAGATAGAGGCTTATGCACTGATTGCAAGGTTATTCCGAGTGAGTGTCTTTCGACCCAACATAGGATCTTGGTTATGGACTTGGAGATTACGAGGGAGAAGAGGAAGAGAGCGGTGTTTGGTCAATCTAAGATCAAGTAGGGACCTTTGACTGAGGACAAAGCTCAGGAATTAGGGGAGAAGTTGTTAGATATGGGGGCATGAAAGGGGTTGTGGGTATGCGAGTAGTATGTGGACCTCGATAGTGAACTGCATTAGGGAAGCTACTAGAGCGGTGTTAAAGGTCATAAAGGGTTTCTCCAGGGGCCTCAACGGTGACTGATGGTGGAATGGAGAGGTCTAAGGTAAAGTAGAAGCAAAAAAAGCAACGTATATGAAGCTAGTGGAGAACGCCGACGAGGAGGAGATGAGGACGCTTAGGAAGCATTACAAGAAGGCTAAGAAAAAGGCGAAGCTGGTGGTCATGGCGGCTAAGACCATAACATTTGAACGCTTGTATGCGGAACTTGGGGCAGAGGCGGTGACAAGAGACTGTTCAGATTAACAAGGTTCGAGAAAGGAAGGCTCATGACCTGGACCAAGTGAGGTGCATCAAAGACGAGGATGACATAGTATTGGTGAAAAAGGCGTGCATTAAGTGCAAGTGGCAGTCATACTTCCACAAACTCTTGAACGAGGTTGGGGACATGAACATTCTGCTTGGCGAGTTGGAGAACTCAGAGAACCAACATGATTTTAGGTTTTGTAGGCATAGTAAGGTTGCAGAGGTATTGCGGAAGATGAGTAGAGGCAGGACGACTGGGCCAGAGGGGATACAAGTAGAATTATGGAAGGTTGTGGGACGAGTAGACTTAGAGTGGCTTACTGGACTGTTTAGTATCATTTTTGGACTAAGAAGATGCTCAGAGAATGGAGGTGGAGTTTGATGACCCCGTTGTGCAAGAACAAGGGTGATATCCAAAGTTGTAACAACTACAGGGGTATTAAGCTACTGAGTCACACTATGAAAGTGTGGGAGAGGGTGGTGGAGAGGAGGGTGATGAGGAGCGTGTCTATTTCGGAGAATCAGTTTGGTTTGGATACAACCGAATTAAATATAGGTAATTGAATATATCAGAATACACCAAAACTGTATTTATTGATACAGTCTATCCTAAGCGCATAAATATAGAAAATACAGGCTCCAAGAAGCTTAAGTTTGCTATGGCTAGTAAATATGAAAAGTATAGTTCTGCCAAGTAAATAGCCTCTAAACTATAGTGGTTTCTGAAAATTCCTCTATGAACTTTTTTGTTATGTCGTCCAACCAACTGATTCTATGTGTAATTGTTTCATTTATATATCAATGAAACTTAAAAATTAATTTTAATTTTTAACGATGAAATTTGATCAAATCTTTTATATATCAATTTTTAACGATGAAATTTGAAATTTTAATTTTAATTGAGTTCGAGGCAAATTGCAAAATGTCTTTTTGTATTTGACATGACATCTCATTTTGTATTTAGAAAAGATTTTGGGGAGAAAATATAATCATATTTTTTCTAAATACTTTGTTTTTTTAAATTATGAAAGTAACAAAATGTTTTTGACCAAAAAAAAGAAAGTTACAAAATGTTCTCAGAATCAAAACAATCCAAGTATAATAGCCTGTTTGTCCAAGACTCATCGATCCTAGAAGCACTTTTTTTTTTTTTTCAAAGCTAAAGTGTTTGGCCAAGCTTTTGGAAGGAAAAAAATGCTTTTGAGGAGAAGCAAAAACAGTTTTAGAGAAGGAGAAAAAATAGTTTCTTTCCAAAAGCACTTTTTTGAAAAGCATTTTTGAGAAAAATACACTTAAAAACAGTTCTTAAAAGCTTGGCCAAAAATACTAATTACTACTTAAAAGTTCAAATTAATTAACCGAATATAAATTACTGTTCACCAAAGCACTTCAGAAAAAATATTTTTGAGAAAAAACAGTTCTCAAAATAAGCTGATGCCCAAACAAGCTCTAAGTCTTCACAAAAATTAATACAAATATTCTTAAAAGGTAATCCAACTCGTATTTTCCTCAAAAATATTTTTGAAAAACTAAACCAAATCTAAGCAAGTTGTTTGCTCACAAAATATTTATGCCCTCACCATATAGTCGTATGTCTATGATTTGATTTTTCTAAAATTCTTACTTCATTTATGTCTTCCAATCTTCTAATTATGCAGAAGGTAAGAGAAAAATGAAAATTTAACGAAAATTTGTGACAGAAATACAGTAGTTAAGTTGCCACACAATAATCTATTCATGAAAGCGAAAAGCTAAAGGAAGGATTTCTCCTGCCACGTGGACATTGTGGGCCCAAAGGTTCAGGAAATATGTAAAACCTTTTCCTCAGGCAATCACTGGTGCGGATTTCAACCATCTTAAAAACAGTATTTTAGGGCTTAAATTCTGTTCCGAACAGCAACAGTATTACTATTACTTCTACTTTCACTCACCTCCCAATTTATCCACTTCTATTTATTCTCCTTTTAATTTTTAACCTTTACAAAATTCATCTCAGCTGATCATGGAGTCCGACGATGACATGTACGGAGGAAGCGACGTAGACTCCGCCGCCGGCGATGATTTCTACGGCGACGACGTCAACACCGGTAACGAGAGCGACGTGGACTCCGCAGGCGGCGGCGATGACTTCATCGGTAATGATTCCGATCATCTTTGTACTGACAAAAACTACGTCGTTTTATCCGACGATGATATTCGTCATCTCATGGACGATGATATCTCTAAAGTTTCATCAGTTCTCTCAGTTTCCAAAACTGAAGCATCTATTTTACTCCGTCGGTATAGCTGGAGTGTGAATAAAGTTCACGAGGAATGGTTCGCCGATGAATCGAAAGTTCGAGCAGCTGTTGGTTTAAAAATAGCGGAAAAAATTGTTCAATTTCCGGAGAATAAGTTATTAACTTGTGGAATTTGCTTTGAGGATTATTCATCTGATGGAATTTTGGCGTCTGCGTGTGGTCATCCTTTTTGTGTTGAATGTTGGCGAGGGTATATTAGTAATTCCATATCTGATGGTTCTGGATGTTTAAATTTGCGATGTCCTGAACCATCTTGTAAAGTTGCTGTCACGCAGGATATCATCGATTCATTGACGTGTGATGATGATAGAAAGAAGTACTATGGATTTCTTTTTAGTTCTTACGTTGAGGAAAACAGGAAGATCAGGTGGTGTCCTGCTCCGGGATGTAATTTTGCGGTTCAATTTGATATAGGGAGCGATAATTGCGATGTTATATGTGACTGTTCGCATAGTTTTTGTTGGAATTGTACGGAGGAAGCCCATCGACCCGTTGATTGTGAAACTGTGGGGAAGTGGAAGGAGAAGAACTTAGCAGAGTCGGAGAATACAAATTGGATTTTGGCTTACACAAAGCCCTGTCCTCAATGCAAGAGACCGATTGAGAAGAACGAAGGGTGTATGCGAATGACATGTAGAGACCCTTGCAAGTATCGGTTTTGTTGGCTGTGCCTTAATTCTTGGTCAACTCATGGCTATAATCCGTGTAACAAGTACAAGCCGGGGAATGAAGATGAGAAAAAGAAAGAAATGGCCAAGCAATCTATTGAGAAGTACACACATTATTACGAGAGATGGGCTACTAATGAGAAGTCGAGGCAAAAAGCTGTAAAGGATTTGAGGAGAATGGGAGAAGTTAATGTTAAGGAGCTGAGTGAATTGCAGGGCATAACAGAGACACAATTGAAGTTCATTATAGAAGCTTGGAATCAGATCGTTGAATGCAGGAGAGTGTTGAAGTGGACTTATGCTTATGGATTTTTCTTGCCTGATGAGGAGCACACGAAAAGGCAGTTTTTCGAGTTCTCGCAAGGTCAGGCAGAGGTTGGTTTGGAGAGGCTTCACCATTGTGCAGAGAGTGAACTGGAGAATTATCTGAATGTTGAAGAAAGTAATTCCAAAACATTTGACGATTTCCGTATAAAGCTTACTGGTCTGACTAGTGTGACTAAGAACTACTTTGACAATTTAGTTAGAGCACTTGAGAATGGTCTTGAAGATGTGCATTCGCAAGGGGCTCAGGGCGACATGCCAACAAGCTCCAAAAATGCAGCTGAAAGCAGCAAAAGGGCAAGCTTGAAAAATGGTAGGGACAGGATGCCCTTGAAGGCAAGAGCTGAATTCATGAGGCTCGTGAGAACTAGAAATGCAGGACTACCTGGCATTAATAACACTGCAAGCTCAAAACACGCCTTAGTTTTTCCAGGAGGAAATATAAATGGCTCCAAGAATCTTGTTATAAATGGAGACAACACTTTGAGAAAATCAAACAATCCACTTGTAGCTGGGGGCAGCAACTTTATGGGATCAAAAGATGCTCTTGTAGCGGCGAGGAGCTACCCTATGAGCCCACAATTTTTACAACTGGCTGGGTTGAGCAGCACTACCGGCTCGAGTAATTTGCAGCTAGCTGGGGGCAGCAAGGTGATGAACATTGGGGGAGGCAGTGTGACGAACTTGGCAAATGCACATATGGCTGGGAGAAACAACCTCACTGTACCAAAAAATCCACTTGAAGCCGGGGACAGCAACTTTATGGGATCGAAAGATGCACCTGTAGCAGGTAGGAGCTATGCTATGGGCACAAAGTTTTTACAACAAGCTGGGGTGACCAGCACTACTGGCTCAAGTAATTTACAGCTAGCTGGAGGCGGCAAGGTAATGAACATCGGGGGAGGCAGTGTGACAAACTTGACAAATGCACATGTGGCTAGAAGCAACAACCTCACTGTATCAAAAAGACCACTTGAAGCCGGGGGCAGCAACTTGATGGGATCCAAAAATGCACTTGCAGCAGCGAGGAGCTACGTTATGGGCTCACAAGTTTTACAACAAGCTGGGGTGACCAGCACTACTGGCTCGAGTAATTTACAGCTAGCTGGTGGCAGCAAGGTAATGAACATTGGGAGAGGCAGTGTGCCAAACTTGGCAAATGCACATGTGGCTGGAACCAACAACCTCACTGTCTCTAGAACTCCAAATGTGGCTTGGGGCAGCAAGGTGATGAACTTTGGGGGAGGCGGTACAAACTTGGCAAATGCACATGTAGCTGGAAGCAACAACCTCACTGTGTCTAAAACTCCAAATGCGGCTTGGGGCAGCAAGGTGATGAACTTTGGGGGAGGCGGTACAAACTTGGCAAATGCACATGTAGCTGGAAGCAACAACCTCACTGTGTCTAAAACTCCAAATGCGGCTTGGGGCAGCAAGGTGATGAACACTGGGGGAATTGGTACAAACTTGACAAATGCACATGTGGCTGGAAGCAACAACCTCACTGCGTCTAAAACTCCACATGTGGCTGGTGGAAGCAACGTGATGAACATTGGGGGACGCGGTGCAAACTTGGCAAATTCACATGTCGCTGGAACCAACAACCTCACTGTGTCTAAAACTCCACATATGGCTGGGAGCAGCAGTAGGATAGGTGGCGGGAAAAAACGCAGGACATCAAATGCTGGGACACCCTTAATCATAAATTTGGATGACGACGATTTAGGAGAGACAACTTCTACCGCAGGGGCATCATTAACACAAAACTTGATTGATGATTTGGAAGGTTGGGCATGCGATTCGTGCACATTTCTGAATGCTAGCTCTGCCACGGCATGCCTAATGTGCAGTGAAGATGCTTCTGGCAGTTGGGAATGCGAAATATGTACATTTGTCAATAAGAAGCATGCTTCTGCATGCCAAATGTGTGAGCACCGTAGATAATGTCCTTGCTTGCATCTAAAAATAAATGGCTGCTCGGTGGATACTCTTGGCTACAAGTTAGTTTTTGAATTATTGCTACCTTACTGTTTTACCAGTCTTATGTTCTTTTCGGTCGATAGCTGCCTAAAAGTTTCTTATTACATCAGTTGGATGCATAAGCTTAAGTAGTAGTATAGTTATGCATATATGGGGTTCCTGGTATTTATAGTGATACACATTCTCCAGGTACATAACAGCTTTTGTCATATTTCTTACTAGTAAAGGCCAATACATTATTCTCGTAATTGTGAAAACTCAAAAAGTTGGTACATTGGCTTATCTCTTTATTCTGTTACCAATGTGGCTTTGGAAGCATTTCTGGAATTATAATTCTGCTTTTGATGTCTTCTAGGTTTCTAGCATTTTTAAGAATCAAAACGAGCTAGAAAGAAAATTCCGTTTTACCTGCAGAGGATGTCCCTGTGTATCATAACGTGTAAGGACTAAATTAAAGAATGAATCCTTGAACATGGGAGATAAGCAGATAATTAAGCCTTTGGGATTTTGACCAAACATCCCTGGCACTTGTCTAGTGAATATTAAACTATGTAATCTGAAACTTGTAGGCATCTTGAAGATGTAGAACATTTTAAAGGAAGATGTCTGGCAAAGATTTTCGGAGGGTGGCTAGTGTGCCCAATCTTTATTTGGTTGACACAGCAAATGTTTCTCAACGTTTGTTTTCACTTTTATTGGGTGCTCCATATATCTTTATTGCTGCAGCCAAGAATCTATTGCAGGGGCCTCTTTCTGCCAAAACTATATGTGCTTAATGAGTAATGAGTATTGTTATTATTCCATCTGCATTACTGTCTACACCTCTCTACTGGATCTATGCCCTTTTTCCTTTTGCAAACAAAGATGCTTAGCATGTTGTAAATGCCTAATTGATAGGGTACACAACTTTGAGAAAAGTTATTGCAACCTGTTCCAAAATGCCATATTGATTGAGTTCCAACTTGAGAAATTAATTGTAGCACATCTCTTTAGCTAATTTTTACCCCTCGTGTGCCTATAAAATTCGTAATGCCATGGTAATGCAGCTGAAAATTATCCAACATCTAACAATAAGAAGTTTTCAAGTTTTACCACCGATGTAGCCTTTTGGTACCCAGTTCATCTGAACTCAAGTAATTTAATGAGTTATCAATGGAAAGCCCTAAACTAGTATTGCAAAAGTACCAAGAGTCTATGAAAATTCCAAAGAACTTTTGGCCAAAAACATGCCTCAACTAAACCCAAAACTTAAGCACATCCTTAAAATATCATATTGACAAAAACATCCTTAAAGTATCCAAAATTTTAGCAACTTTCATCCTTCCGTCAAACTGTGTTAGAAAACTAACAGACCCTATAGCATGTGCGAGTCACATGACTCCAAGCTGCCCCCAATCAGTCCACCGAAGTTTAGCGTTTGGACATAGATTTGGTTGAAACTTAAAAAAAAAAAGAGTTCTTTAAGTTGTGTTGAAAAATAATTTTTGGAAGTTGAAGCTGTGTTTGGACATGCATTTTATTTGAAAAAAAGTTGAAGTTTTGTGAGTGGAAGAAACAATTTCACAAAAAATTGTTTTAAGCTAGTTTTTGGGAATTTGAGAATTTTTTTCAAAAATTAATCATATTTCATAAACAATGTTTTTAAATTTTTTTTGAAAAAAAGTAGCCAAAGGGAGCTAATAATTTCTCCATTTTACTCCATAGTTTTTCTGGGTTAAGGACTTCGTTACTGTGTTCCATTTATCCTTGCCTGCTTTTTCATTTCTACTATTATCAAAGTTTTGTTACAGGAAAGGATTAAGATTAGTCTAGCTCAGGAAAATTTGAATACAAGTGGTTTTGTCAAGTTGGAGCTAGGGATTGAGCTATCTTTTGCTGTTGTCATGCCTGCTTTTGCATTATTTGCATAACTTTACACAGATGCAATGGCAAGGAACCCTTTCATCCAATTCCTGTTCTTCCATTGTGATGCTTTTCTTATTTGGGACCATTGAAGTCTAGCACCAAAAGACTATTGAGAATCAGAGATTAACATATGAAAATATCTTTTGAGGCTATTTTCACTCTCACCCATCTTATATTTTTCTTTATAGAGGATACCCACATATCCTCTCCAATATCTAATCAGTCATGCCTTTCTCTCTTCCTAAAATCAGATCCAAACTGTAGGATTTTTGTTTCTATAATTTCATGGGGTAATCTTAAATCACACTCATGGACACAAAATAGCTCGAGAACTTTGTGTACCTTCTGCAGTGGAGAATTTAAAGCAAAGAAATTACCGCAAGTCCCACTGTTTCACTAGGAAACAAGACGAAGTAAATGTCTACAGTTGTGTGTTTTTGGAAAGAGAGTAAGAGAAGAACAAATCCCTTGTTTTTCAATAGTAGTTACCCAGGAAAAGAGTGTTCTTCTTTTAAAGAAGAGAACCACTTTTAACTTCTTGATAACCACCTGCTAAATTCAGCCTCCATTTAAACTCTTTTAACTTCTCTAAACTCTTTTGAGTTGATCTCTTGATATTTTTCAAGCCAGATCTTATTCGTAATATATACATATAGGAGTCCGGAACTACAACGACCCGACCGGTCGTTTTGAGCTCTAGCGCACCGTTTGGCGGTTTGAGTAATTTCACTTCATGTTTTATGACTTGTATATGAGGTTGGAATTGAATTTCGGGAAGTTCGGAGTTGATTCGGAAGGAAAATTCTCAATTCGGAAGCTTTAAGTTGGAAGAGTTGATCAAGGCTTGACTTTTGAGTAAACGACCTCGGAATCGAGATTTGAAGGTTCCAATAGGTTCGTATGATGATTTCAGACTTAGGCGTATCTTCGAGTTGAGTATCGGATGGTCCGGGAGCATTTCAGCGCTTACTATGAAAAGTTGGCATTTTGAAAGTTTTTAGAATTTTCTAAGTTTGGTTTGAAGAGGACTTTGGTGTTATCGATGTCCGTTTAGGATTTCGAGCCTTGGAATAGGTTCGTATCGTGATTTGTGACTTGTATGCAAAATTTGACGTCATTCCGGAATGTTAAGTGTGATTCGGACGCGTTCGTCGAAGATTGAATGTTTGAAAGTTGAAAGAAGATTTTTTATCGTTGATCCGTGGTTTTGATGTTATTCGTGGTGTTTCGAGCCTTTGGATAAGTTTGATTAAGGTATTGGAACTAGTTGGCGTGATTGGACGGGATCTCAAGGGCCTCGGGTGTGATTCGGGGTGCTTTCAGACCATTTCATCTTGTCTTGAAGCTGCTGGTTTCTGGTGTCAGATTTGTTCATCGCGCTTGCGATGAAGGGCTCGCGATCGCGTAGTGTTGATTGGGAGATGCGTGAAATTGTTCTTCGCGATCGCGTATGGGGGCTCGCGATCGTGGTGCATGGTTAGTTAGTTCATCGCGTTCGCGTGGAAGGAGCCGTGAACGCGAAGTGTTAGCGAGGTGGCTTGGGTTTGGAAGGCTGTTCTTCGCGATCGCAGGGATAGGTTCACGATCGCGTAAGATGTTGGTCTGAGGAAGGAAGGCTTGGCCTTCGCGTTCGCGTAGGTTGTTCAGGCAAAGGTTCGCGATCGCGGTTCATTGGTCGCGTTCGCGTAGAAGAAATCTAGGGCAAGGCTGGCTTAGCCTTCGCGATCGCGAGGGTACTTCCGCGATTGCGAAGAGGAAGGACCCTGGCAGACTTGATTTTTATACGAGATTTGGTTCATTTCTCTCATTTTCACTTGGTTGGGCGATATTTGGAGCTCTTGGAGGGGAGATTTCATCATCTATTATGAGGTAAGTTATTCCCACTTGTTGTGAGCTATAAACATGAGTTGTATACGAATATTAACATAAATATTTGTAGAAATTGTGGGATTTCGGAAGAAACCTAGAATTTGGTATTTTTGGATTTTGACCACGAAATTGGACATGAGATTAGGAATAAATTATATATTCGAGTTCGTGGTGTTATGGGTAAAGTTATCTTCGAAGATTTTCGGAATCCAGTCACATGGGCCCTAGGGTTGACTTTGTTGACTTTTCTAGCTGAGTTGAGAATTGTTATAAATTGATTAATTATGAGTGTTGGAGTATATTTTTATTAGTTTTCATGATTGTTTGACTAGTTTCGGATCGATGGGCATTAGTTTGGGGTGCTAGAGAGGCGCGGAGCCGGATATGGAACTTCAGAGCGAGGTAAGTCTCTTGTCTAACCTTGTGAGGGGGAATTTACCCCGTAGGTGTTGTATTTATTATGTGCTACACGTTGTGGGAGCTACGCACGCATGAGGTGACGAGTGTCCATGCATATGCTAGAATTCCTGATTATGTCCGGGTAGACTTAGATTCACGTCATGCTTTAATTGTACTATTTGAGTTATTCTTGCCTTTTTAATTTCTCTAATTCGCATTATGACAGATACTGGACTCACGTAGAGTAATGGACTCGCTGTTTTAGCCATTTTGACGAGCTACTTGATTAGCCGTAGAAGTTGTGCCTCCCTTATGAATTTCTTTCATGTTGTGCTTATTCATCGAAAAGTTTTCTTAAATTTCATAACTCACACGTTTATTCGTGAATGGGGTCAAGGACCGTTAAATTTTCTTATTCTAGTTGAATCGGGCCGTTCGCCTCGGCTGGATTATGTATAACACTCTTATGGGATCGGGCCGTTCCCTCGGCATGATTATGTATCACACTCTTATGGGATCAGGGCGTTTTTCTCGGCAGGATATTGTAACACACTCTTATGGTATCGGGTCGTTTGCCTCGTCAGTATCATGTATCATATTCTTATGGGATCGCGCTATTCGCCTCGGCAGTTCTATGAAACACTCTTATGGGATCGGGCCGCTTGCCTCGGTAGAATCGTGCAATATACTTAATAAGGAGTCCACGCACTCATGAGTTTCTTGACTTGAGATGTGATCGTTGATTTGATATTGACCATTACGTATTCCATTTGAGGAGGTATCCGATAACTGAGGACTTTGTGTTCATTGTTCGACTGTAGACTATATTATTTGCCTATATCTGTACTTATTGTTTACTTACCATGTTTCATACTTGTCTACTATATTATATTTGATTTACTTGACCACTAGTAAGTGTCAATGTCGACCCCTCGCCACTACCACTTCGGGGTTAGGCTAGATACTTACTGGGTACGCATTGATTTACGCACTCATACTGCACTTCTGCACTAAATGTGCAGGATCTGACAGGTTCACTTGGCGGTCATTTGGGCGCGTAGGCGCAGCTGCCGAAGGGACTTTATGGTGAGCTGCATTCCA